CATCGGTCAGTTACGCCAAAGAGAACCGTCGAGGCAAGAGCGGAGGGGTGTATACCAAGGGTGAGGTCATGCAGCGGCCTCTTCGTCATCTTCGTACTCGTACTCGTCGTCGTCGTCCTCGCCATTTTCGAGCCGAGTAAGCCATCCCGAGCTCTTCCGAGCTGGGAGCTTCGGGGCGCCGAAGATGGCAGTCCCGTTCCTATTGCCTCCGTCCTTCTCCAAGAACGAAGTCGGTGGAGGCAGCGTCAGCGACGAAACCGAGCGGCTACTTACACCGAGCGCCGTGGCCAAGGGATGTTCGCCGTGCTGGGAAGTGAACTGGCTAAGCGAAGGAAGGGTCGGGCGCGTGCCGCCTGACGTGGGTCCGATGGGAGCGAGACGGTTGGGCGAGGCGCCGCGTTCGCTAGCAGAAGACGAGCTCGAAGAACTGCGCCGCGGGAAGGGATTGAGGGTCGGCGATGGGCGCCTCGCGGGTTGTGGCTCGTGGGAAAGCGGTGGCAGACGGAAGGCCTCGTTCACCATGTGCGGGGGTGGAGGCCCGGAGAGAGGGCGCAACTCGAGCGTCCCGTTGCCGTTGGACTGCGCGGACAGAGGCGACGATTGCCCACTCCCATTCAGCCCGGGAGGGTGAATAAGCGTGCCCTGCATGTTGTAACCAGCCAGAGGATCGTTGGCCGCGTCGGGCATCAGACCAGTGAGCGCCGGATCGATGGCGTATGAGCCATTCGGCGCGGTGGTGTACGGGTGGAGGGGTGGGGGATATTGATAAGGGTGCGCGGCGGCCGCCTGCTGCGGATTCGTCTGCAGCGATTGAGGTAGGAAGACCGTCGCGCCTTGCGGGTACTGCTGAGACTGCAGTGGATGTTGCAGAGGCGCGAAGTTGGCAGCCATGAAGTGCTGCGTCGTACGCGGTTGACCCTGTTGGGCGGCCACCTGAGCCTTGGTGGGCTTCTTATTGCGCTTACGCTCGCGCTTGTTGCCCTCGCCCTGCGTGACGTCGAGCGACCAGTAGCTACCCTTTCCGGGCTCTGTCATCGTGCGTGAAGTCTTGACGAAGCACTGTGTACGCATTAAGCGCTCGTTCGACATGTGCCCAACTCCGCGGGCTTACCTTGCGCAAGGAGAGGTTGTGCCGAATGGAGTTCTGGAGATAGAAGTGAGCGACAGTGGCCCGAAAGGGCACTGGGAATGATCTTACCTTCCACGCCGTATCATGTGTGTTCAATCTGAACCACTCGAACCGATTCTCGAGCTCCGTGTAGATCTCCTGCAGCGTCAATCTTCTGAACGGGCTGCCGAAGATAGCAAGTTTAATGAGCGTAGGGAGCGGGAAGTTCGGCTTGTGGCCGGGGAGAGGATCTTCGAGCGAATAAAGATTAATCGGGGCGCCCGGTTCCAGTTGAAGGAGCGCTCTAAGGTGCGCCGCTGCCGCTTCCCCATCGGGATCTCCCGGTGGACCAGGCGTCGAAGACGGGGAATGTCCGGTGTAGCTATCGCTGGGCGAGATCGGCCGCAGGACGATAGAGGGAGACTGGGCGACCAGAGATGAACCTAGTGCGCTGCCGTTGGACCCAGGCTGCGCAACATAGCCGTACCCACGGGGATCTAAGCGGCCGTCGCCGGCGCTATGTCTGCGCGACGCGGGCGCCTGCCGGGAACTAGTGAGAGTCTGACCATGCATCGGCGCCTGGGCGCCCTGCGTGGAAGCGTAAGAAGAGAACTCCGCTGGGGACGGGGACCGGTAGAGCTGTGTGTGTTGCGGGTAGTGGTTCAAACCGCGGGCGGCCGGGTCAGAGCCATGCTCGTACACACGCCGGTCAATGCCGATGCGGCGGTTCGAGTCGTCGTACGCGGGGTAGTGCTGCGATCCAGAGTGCGGGCGCAGGGGAGAGCCGGTGTTCCCGTTCAGCTGGGCGCGCACGGGGAGACGAGCAGGGGAGGGCGTGCGGGCTGGCGCACCACCCGAGGAGTTGAAAGAAGAGCCGCTGCCAGGTCTGCGACGGGGCCGGTCATCGTCGTATTCCTGGCTGGAGCGCAGGCCTCTGAGCCGCTCGCGCTGGTGGTCGTGGTCACGTTCTGCGTCGAGGGAGCGGAGGTGAAAGTTGCGTTCGTCCTGGGAGGAGCCGTCTGAGCTGCCGTACTGGGGCGGGCGTTCATGCAGTGCCACATGACCAAACTTGAGCGCGTACCTCTGACCTGTACTGGACCGGCTGCACGTCCGAGCGCGTCAACGCACGTGAGGGCGTCGGCGCGCTCATCGGTGGCACGTACGGAGCCTCCTCCTCCGAATCATCCTCGTCCTCCCCAGCCCCATATCTCATGCCCGCTCCCTCGTACGGGCGCTCGTACCGCGCCGCAGCTTCTGCCGGCGGCGGCGGCGGCGGCGGTAGCGTCGGCATCCACGGCGCACCTGCATCCTCTTCGTCATCGTCAGAGTAACGCTCATAGACGCGGTGGTGGGCAGCCGGCGGCGAGAGTACGGCAAGAGGGGCATCGGCTGGCATGAGAATGGGAGGTGTGGCCGGGGAAAGAGGCCATAGAGGTCGATAACACCGGGACCCACAGCCCGTCCGAATTTAAAAGAAGCTCTCGGCAGCGCCCACCGCCCATCACCAATATGCTACACTACGGCAAATCGCGCACCTCTCCCGTCTTTTGTCGCCCACGACCGGAACCGCGTCGGTTGATAGTTCAGAAATGCCTCGATCTGCGCGCCCCGACGTTAGGCGCCCCGTGCCAAACCGTATCCGGGACAAACGCAACGCCCACCATTGTTCTCTCCCTTGGGCAAAGTCTAGCGGAGGGTCGGCGAATGGAAAGTATGCCGTGCCCATCTCACGTCTGCTTTTGTGGTGAGGGCGCACCCCCTTCGACCCCTTGATCTTCCCATGATACTGCAACACGCCTCCCGGCCCACACGCCCGCTCATACCAAGCCCAGCCATCTTCTGGAAGCCGCCGAAGATCGATAAGCTTCAGAGCTTCCCCTACGCGCATGCCTAACAGCACCGAAGCGACTTAGACTACGATGGCCAGCCACGATACCAAAGACCGCATCGGTAGTCCACCCTCCCCCCTTCCACCAGAATATGTACACTGTACTTTATCTCCCGTGCATATACAATCGGGATGAACGCGCGCGCGGCCCGACCATGGACCGCCGTTGCCGGGCATCAACTTCTCTTATTTTCGTCACACATGCAAACCGAAGCATTGCGGCGCGCCGAGGTACGTGTACGCCGACGAGACCCAAGCATCTCCCCCTTTACTCAAGTCGAACCCCGCTATCACAGCCCCATGGTCCCTACATCTATGAAAACCGCCGTGCGCTACACCTTCCTCATCCGACCAGCAGCTGTGGGCGCGCTGCCCAAAATGCGTCGCCGATGATATCGCAGTGCATGAGCTGAACGCGAGTCCTGGCTTTCTTCCTCACAGCCTTCTGCGTGCTGCGTCCGGCTGATCCCGCCGGGGTGTCCGAACTCTATGTTAGAAACGGTATCAGTGGGGTCCCCAACACCTCATCCGAGGCGTGCAAGACGCGACGCACATCCTGCTGCGTGGCCTCTCGAGACGCCTCATTGCCAGATCCATCTACCTCGGCCTCGGGCATCTGCGCCATTCGGGTTCGAAAGCGAAAATTTTATATCAGCATGCTTCGCGCTCAAGTGCCGCAAGAGAGGACCCGCTGACCGGCTCGCGCACGAGTATGCTGCCCCTGCGATATCGCGCGTCGAGCTCGTTGTAGTTGACGTTGAACCTTGAGAAGAGAATGTCATGTTTCTGATTCGAAACCGTGCCCTGTGTGGTCATAGCCGTACGCTGAGCCCACCGTCTACTCAGCGAAGAAGCGAGATTAGGCTCGCCTTGAGCGTTTCGTGCGCTTCTGTCGTGCTCTGTCCGCCCTGTTGCACGAGAGCCCAGAACGCGGTGTTGTACAGATTGTTTATGTGTGCTGTAAAATTTTTGCCATCGATGAATGAGCTGCTCAGTACCCTCATTTCATACGCAATCGTAGCTTGTACTGACTGTCCGCTTGCCTCCACGCAAAGTAATCTCGCACCTCGCGATCGGAGGGGTAGAGCACAATCCGACCGTCGAAGCATGGCGGGTAGACCAGCGGCGTATCCGGGAAAAAGGTTGGCCAGTGGAAGATGTAGGCAGAGGTAAAGTACGAGCACAGCGTGGTGAGGATCTTGGCCTCGCGCCGGTTGTAGAGCTGCGCGGATCGTCGTAGCAGGAAGCTGCCCGCGAGGTCAATTCCCAGATCATCACGAAAGTCCGCCTCGGCCGCGGAGGGCGCAACTTTCCGGCGCCACAAACCTGAACTCGTCCGACTCGCCGAACGCGAGCACGACGTCCTTGTATTCATCCATCACAGCCCGCGCAGCGCGGTCCATGAGCTCAAGCGCGCGGACGTCGTTTGGTTTTGCGAACTTGTGTACGTCCGAGAACCTTACGACCTTACGGCCTAAGAACACGGTTTGCCAATGTCATAACGCCGTTCATGCCTACCGATGAAAGGCATGCCCGTCCAGACGCAAGACTATGAATGTGCCCGGCAGAAGAGGGTCCGGGAGCTCAAAGCTTTTGACGTATGCGAAGCGCGAGCCAGCCATGATGGTGGTAAACTCGAGTCAAGTTTCATCAGAGGCGCGTTAGCAGGCGTGGGAGAGTCGTTTGGGGTATCGGGGCACGCCGCTAGTGGCAGGTCTTCCTTCTCGCAACAACAGTACTAGTCCTTGCAGCCTCGACTCCCAAGCACCCGCTCCCGTACTCACAACTCGTCACCCATGAGCTCGACAACGATTCCCCGTGGCCGCGCGCCTTCACCGTTCTTCCGCTACCGGCCTTTGGGCCGAGCCCCGAGCCCGCCCACCTGGGCGTGCTACGAGCAGATCCACGCACCCGTCTACGACTCGGACGACTCGGACTCGGACGGATCCTACGACATGGCCTCTGACTACGAGGACGCCGCCGAGAAGAAGTCGGACGATGAGGAGGAAGACACCCCGATCGCGCTCGGCGGCGGTAACGATGCCGCGGCGGTCGATAACATGGACGTCGACGAGGACGCGGTCGACCTGAAGATGGGCAAGACGGACAGCAAAGGCAAAGGAAAGGCCGTCGAGACCACCAACGTCTTCCGCGCACCTCGAGCCCGCAAGGAGCGCAAGCGGCCGCAGCCCGTCGTCGCGCTCCGACCTATATTGACCATTCAGCGCAGCCAAGGCTTTGTGTGGAACCAGGTATGTCTATGTGTATTGTGCCACAGCTAGGATACAGACTCAAGTATCCTTTGTGCTCAGGACCTGTTTGTCCCGCCGTACGCCAAGGATCGATGTTCGTAACTGCCACCCTGTGAACACGCTGCCGTACTGATCGCTTCTATCGGCCTCGTGTTTCAGACATCGCCTCGACTTCTCCGCCTCAGCGCAAGGGATTTATCTCCTCATCCGTCGACTCTGCTCTCAACGAGTACGAGCCGGTAGAGATCATCGAGATCCATGTCCGCGACGGCGAGCTGCAAGACATCATCCCTTGAGCGAGCCCGCGCGTCGTCATCGGCGCGGCGCCACAACTTGAACTCCGCGTCGAAGCGTCTGCGCTTGTGCCCCGGCGCTTCTCAGCCTGACTCGCAATATACTCACCTTCATCATGAACTCGGTTCCGATTCCCTCTGTACTACTTATACCATTTTGACGCACACCTACAACGTCCCGGACCCCTTCGTCGTTCTCCGTACTCATCTTCTTGATTTCTGCTCCATCGTAGTACTTACCGCATCGTCTCGCTCTCGCCTCGGAAATATGTATCATAGTTATCGCGCTTTGAACTACACATGGATCACCTCTCCCTCACTACAGAACGCGTGGACCGCTACCTAAACAGTCAATCCCACACCGCAACATATCAACGGGCCAACGGAGCGCGGTAAGAAGCCCTCTCGTACCATTGCATCCGCTTTGCCGCACATTGACGACGCCCACTAGCCAGGGCCTATTAGCTAACAATCAATATTCCTCGGCACTCCGCCCAGCGTCCGGTATCCTCATATTTCACCGGCTGCACTGCGCTCGACGGCTCGAAGGAGAGCTCGCCCACAACCCACTGTCGCCATGATCAGGGCCTGCGCGCAATGCGGGGGCGGGATCCGCAAACGACGCGTCGACGCCGCCCGTGCCTCCGTCTTGCCTCCGTCCTTCACCGTCCGCTGAAAAAATAGATCGACGGCGCTGCACCGCACCGCATGCGCCGTCTCTTTCGCGTTCCAGTTCAAGTAAGCACGCCAGAATTCGCCACCAATACACAGGTACGTTTCCGGATGTTTCTCGCCCGAACTGCCACATGCAGCTGGGTTCGGGTTCCACACCGGCTCTTGACGCCGCCTGTGTCGCGAAGCCTTGGCCCTTCCGGTGCACTCCTTCATGCGCCCGCGTCGGGAGGGCGTCAGAGATCAAAGCTCGACTCGGGATATACTTGGTCAATATCGGGGTTCGATTTTCCGCGTTGATACCGCAGCGCATCGAGCCAACGGCGCATGGGCCACACTTCGAATCGTGACCAGCATATCTCGCCCATATTCGGGACCAGCTTCTGCTCTGGAAGTCCATGCGGCTAGTCGATCACATGGAACTGCTGCCCCGAACGCATTCAGCCACTATCTATCGCGAGATAGCGAGTGCTGGCATTGTGTTCTACGGTTTGTCGCGCAAAGTACGCACCGAACATGGCCTGCAACCCGACTTCGTGCCTACGCAGCAATCCCGTTCATAGTGCAATAACGGACCGACGAGCGGACACCCCTTGGGTGCCTTAAGACGCCGAGCTTCGTGCTTCTTCTCGCCATCCTTGATTGCGCGATACGTTGGTCCGGACGCACGATAGAGATTGCGACAACACCGAGCAAATCTACTCTGATGGGCACCAGGGAAAAGCTCCATCCCAGAATCGCATATGAGGCGCACGGGTGCGCATGGTACCGGCTTCCCTCGCTCGTTCACGCCGCCTCCCTCTTCCGCCGCTCGCTCGCGCACAGCTATGTCCGACGCTACCGTCGACGTCAAGGACAAGGAGCTGCTCTCCCAGCTGCCTGTGCTGGATGAGAAGAAGACGAGCTCAGACTCGGACGTCGCGCTCGGGAAGGACTCCAAGCTCGACTCGGAGAGGGTCTCGTACGTCGAGGAGGACGCCCTCGGCGAGGTCCTGTATATAAACGGCGAGCCGGTCGTTCAAGACGGCAGGGATGTCTCTCGCTTTGTTGTCGATCTTCGCGACGACGGCGATGAGGCGACCACATTCCGCGGTCTGGTCCTTGGTACTATTTTTGGCGGTTTGGGCGCTGCCCTCTACCAGGTATGTATATGCCATTGCTTCGGAGCTTTACGCGCTGACGCCCTTGGCAGATCTATACAGTAAGTTCCATACAGTGCACAACGCGCTCAGGAAGCTAAAGTTCATCCTTATCTCTAGTTCAAGCCGGTTCAGACTGTAGTCTCTGGCACGCACTCCTATACCGGTGTTGCAATGTATGTGCGAAACTGACCATCCATTTAAAGGTGTCTTCCTCATGCTCATCATCTACGCTTTCGGAACTGCCTGGGCGAATCTGCTCCCGAGGGCTCACTGGGTGGAGGGAACGCGCTTCGCCCGGCTCGGCCCCATTATCCATTTCATCAACCCGAGCACGGAGTTCAAGATCAAGGAGCACGTCGTAGCTACGATCATTGCCAGTACAGTGCGTGACATCGGGTATCATGTGTGCTGCAGATACTCAACTCCGCCTAGGCTGCCTACGGATCAAGCGCTGTCCTCAACTTTGCCGTCCAACGCGTATGTCGATCTTTCTTCATTGACGTTGGATCTGGATCTCATGCTTATTTCAGCTCTACTACGATACTCACGTCAATGCTACGACGGCTGTACTCGCTACTTTCTCTACGGCAGTCTTCGGTTATAGTGTCGTCGGTCTCTTGCGCCCCCTTACGGTGTACCCCGCCGAGATGGTCTATTGGGCTAATCTCCCCACCGTCTCTGTCTTCCAATGCAAGTGGCCCCTCATTTGCTTCTACGAAGTCCTGGCTGACCTTCTTCGTAGCGCTGCACTACGACAGGGAGAGCAACAAGAAGCGTCTCCGCCTCTTCTGGATCGCTTTCGGCGCAATGTTCGTCTACGAGGTATGCACCACTTGAAACGACCGGCGTGCCCAGTATAGTCCCGCTGACATTCCGCGCGCTTAGATATTCCCGGCGTACATCTTCCCTCTCTTGAACGGCTTCTCCATCATCTGTCTCGCCACGCAGAAGAGCAGGCCGGCCACGCTGGACGTCATCACCAACATCTTCGGTGGATCAGACGGCAACGAGGGACTCGGTCTGCTCAACTTGAGCTTCGATTGGCAATACCTCGGCTCTTCGTCCGTGCAACACCTTTCTCCAAACCTGTATAGCATGACTGATCGACCATACAGGTACATGTCGTTGCCACTCGTCCAGCAAGCCAACTCATGGATCGGTCTTGCCTTCTGCTACATCGCTATCCCCGCTATCTTCTACTCGAACTTGTGGAACGTAAGATGCTCGCTCTCTCCAGCAACTAGAACGTATCAACTGACGGCTCCTTGACAGTCCAAGATGTTCCCCATGCTTTCGACTTCGATCTTCAACTCGAACGGCACGCGGTACTCGCAGTCGTCCGTTTTCACCGGTCCCAGCCAGTCGCTCAACGAGACTGCGCTCGCGGAAGTCGGTCTGCCTTCCCTGACCGGATCCAACGCATGGGCCAACCTGATGGCGAACGTCTCCGTACGTGATCTTATGAGTTCAACGTCAGAGACTTGGCTGACCAACCAACGCATAGATCGGTGGACTCATCGGTCACTGCATCTTGTTCTGGGGCCCATACGTCCTTGCGTCGTTCAAGCAGGCTCAGACCAAGACTCAGCCGGACCCTCACTGGCAGGCGATGCAGAAGTACAAGGAGGCGCCTCACTGGTGGTACCTCGTTCTCATGGTACTTTCCTTCTTTGCCGGTGAGCGAGATCATCCAGTTTGGGTTGCTCGGCACTCATAGTCTTCGGGACAGGCCTCATCGCGAACTTGAAGGGCGACACGACGCTTCCTTGGTGGTCCTACATCGTTGCGCTTGTCTCGGGTGCATTCGTTACACCTTTCTCGACGCTCTTGTACGCTCGTATGGGTAACGGTGTCGCCACCAACCAGCTCTTCAAGATGATTGCCGGTGCCGTGAAGTAAGTTCACCCTATTCTGAGTCTGCCTGCCTGTGCTGATGGACATCCTAGCCCCGGAAAACCCGTGGCTAACCTCTACTTCTCGATGTGGAGTCACGACGTCGTCAGCCAGTCGATCGGTTTGGCACAGGACTTGAAGATGGGACAGGTGAAGCTTTCGCGGTACGCTCTGTCGGTGGGTCTAACATCTGTCCATAGTACCTCAAGATCCCTCCTCGCGTCTTATTCTCCGTTCAGCTATGGGGCACGATCATCGGTACGTGTCTCCCCAGTCCCTCACACCGTGTATCTGAAGCTAATGATATCTACAGGTGCGATTGTCAACTACGGTGGGAGAGATGATCTGTTCCGTGATGACCCGTACTTACATGGACGTAGTCGTAATGAACTCCATCGTCGTGGCCCAGCGAGAGATCTTGCTTGACCCCATTGTAAGCTCCTCGGCCTTCACGCGGCCTATTATTATTAATCGTGGACCAGGGTACCAACATCTGGAGCGGTCAGACTGTCCAGTCGCTGAACTCGAACGCCGTCACCTGGGCTCTCGCCAAGCAGCTCTACGGTCCTAGCGGCCCCTACTTCATCATCCCCATGGGTCTGTTCATTGGTGCCGGCGTGTCCTTCTTCCAATGGCTTTTGAACAAGGTGAGGCGAGCCTCGTTCCACGTCGTCAACGTGACGCTAAATCTTTGTCACTAGCGTTTCCCGGTCATTCTCGGAGTCCGTGTCGACAGTATCATGCTGCCGCTCATCTACATGGTATGTCGATCTGGTCGGATTTATGATACAGACGCTCACCAGTGCTTCCATGACAGTACGCTGCCTGGATGTCTTCTGGTGTCAATAGTACCATCATGAGCACGATCATCCTGGGTGTGACTTCTCAGGTCTGGCTTCGTCGCTACCACCCCGTGAGTCCAATCAGCGTACCGATGGCTGTACAGTCTCTCACCGTATATGCAGGGCTGGTACAGGAAGTACAACTACATTCTTGGTACGCTCACCGGTTGATCCCTCGTTGCTTGTTTGCTGACTCGCACGTTCAGGTGGTGCCCTTGATGGAGGCGCGCAAGTCATGATCTTCTTGCTATCCTTCGCCGTCTTCGGTGCCTCCGGAAAGGAACGCCCATTCCCTTCGGTGAGTTAGGCACTCCTAGTACCGGTGGGCGCCAATACTAAAGAAGCATACAGTGGGCCGGAAACCCTGCCGCCGGCAATGTGGACTACTGCAACGGCAACGGCGCTTTGGATTGATACTCGGGGATTTTGGTCGTGTAGGTACTAGGGTTACTAGGGGATCGTGTTCTACTCGCTATGTTCATGGAGTCTCTGATTTGGGTGATATCTTGCGCGCCCGGCGCGACGCAATGTCCGCCTCTCAAGAATGTTGGATGTCTGACTTTGTAAGCTTTGTGCGTTGTATTACTACACTTCTGACTATGTAGAGTAAGGTCGGGCATATAATCCTATAGCGTGTTTCCACAAGTCTACTATCCAAGCATGAACGGGTGAATGTTCACGCATACCCGTGGCATCTGAGGATGCATATGACTTGAGGCCGCCGGTTCGACCGGTGCGTTTTCTGATGGCTTTCGTACGCGTCTGTGCAAGGATCGTTGCTCGTGCGCATCGCTAGATCTGTCCTCGAACGCGTGAGTTTGCATAGCAGGTGCTTTGGTATGTTCCTGATGCTCCAGGGCTGTCGTACTGCTATGGGAGATGCAGAAGATCAATCACCATCAGATCCTCCTGTAGAGCTTGCGTTCTCTGCTTCCTTGAGACCGTATCTCATAAAGCCGGATTCCACTCAACGAGCAATACGTAGCACGAGGTACGTTCATCTGGTAGATCATGTCGGTGATCGCAATGTAGAAGCTGCATGTCCATCGGGGACAAGAACGTTGCTCACCACACGACCCCGCAGGTACATGCAACGCGAAGCCTTCTGACGCCCCAGCTCACAGGGCTGGAGTTTGCCTGACAGACGTCATACGCAACCTTGTCCAAATTGGCTTGCCGTCAGCTGAAAAGTCGGCCAGGCCCGTACGAGACTGCGAGGGCACGTACTCGTCAACCCTGGATCGGCATATCGTCACAATCGCGGCGAGAGCGCTCGCAAACGCCGCTTGAGCTCAGCGGCGTTGTATACCCCGCACAAGCGGAGCACCAAGATACACGCCGAATTCCGGGAATCGAAGCGCTGGAAGCTCGGCCCCTTACGGAGGTGACCTCAGATTAGTGCTGTGACCCATGCACGGGCCATGCGCCACCGGTTCTGCACCTCTATAAAGGCTTGCGCTGACGTGCGGTACGCGTCCGGTCCTCTTACCCGACCAGTTAGAACATCCTCTACCGAGTATAGCTCTACTTCGTATCCCGCTTTTGTGCCTCTCCAAATCGCAAGGCACGCCGTATTCTGTAATCTGATGTGTAGCGAAGAGTGGTAAGTGACCTCTTCGTTCGAAGTAAATGACTGTTCTGAGAAACGTACGATGCAGCTTCGGTAACCAGTATAGGGGATGTGGGGTGAGATTACAGATGCAGTCAGTTCCGTCGATAGTCCAAGCGCTAAACCGGCAACGATGCAGCACTACGTGCGCGTTTATTACACGGGGCACAGAACAGACTGCGGCTCCCCAGATTGCGCACTAAGCGCAGCACATAAGCACAAGACCACCAGAGTGTGTTCATGCAGTACAGTATGTCGGCTTCCTGTTCTTTCTCAGCCACCGACTATCAGCTTATCCGGATTCGCACTCACAGGTTACCTACGATCAGCGGAGAGTGATGAACCTCTTTCAGGAGCCCTGCGACGACTGTAAGGAAGCGGGCTACTACGACCGCGGTCGTCGCCGTTGACGTCCACTGCGTGCCGTATTTGGCACCTTCGACAGAGATGGGGAAGACGGGAGAAAGATGGGGCTCATTTCAGTAATATGCGTCAATGAGGCCAGATATGGATTCAGAACGGGATCGACATTGAGTCTCAGTGTTCCTATACGAATACAATGTTCCGCTAGAAGCCTTTCGCTTTGCCAGCATACCTGTTCGAGCGAGTCGGGCTCTCAGCAGCGATGTACCGACAGTGCTCGTATCGTCGAAGACTTCTAGATGGAAGCTGACCGACAAGATGCCATGAATTGCGCGTGAACCCTGCCGTGACTCCCCCGAAAACCCAGCGGTGACGCGCCGTACCTCTGCTCGTCAAGAGCAACAGCGACGCAGAGATACGATAACGATAACAGAACGAAGTGGCCGGCGCTTGATCTCTGTTGGGGAATGGCATTGCTCCTCGCACAGGAACGTATACGCAAAGGACACAGCACGAAGAGTGTTAAGAATCAGAACCACAAGCGAAGGCTTCTTGGTCTGCGGCGGAGCGTACGATCAGAAGCGTCTCCCTCCGCGCTTAATAGGTTGCCTCGTCCCTCGCCGTGCCCCGGCAGTTCTCCTCTCCCCATCCGAGTCACTGCTAGAGTCGTCTACGGCACTTGGCTTGCGCGCAGGGGCAGCTCTGCTCTTCTTTGCAGGGGGAGGACTGGAATCGGACGAGGAGGAATCATCGTCAGCGTGCCGAGTGGGAGGCGCTTTCGCAGGCTTGCTCTTCGGCTTCGCGTCAGAATCACCGCTCGATCCGTCAGGTGTGGTAGCCTTGCGCGGGGCCGTGGGCTTAGCCTTTGCAGGTAGATTCGGGATCGGGACTGGCAGGGTAGAGGATGCTGCAGGGACAGGCGTCTTTCGAGGAGGTACAGCTTCAGCGTCGCTGTCTGGTGCAGTATCAGAACCCTCGTCCGCTGGCGCAGATGGCTGTGGCTGCGAGGGCGCGGTAGCTGATACCTGCGACTCGGGCTGGGTGTGTACCTTGTCCTTGCCTTTTATGTCGTTACCCACGAAAATGTTAGGCTCATCTACGGCCATCGGCTCGACATCCTAGCGCTCGTCAGTTCAGAAAGACATATGATGACGAGATGAGCTAACCGGCGCAATATCCGGACTAGATGCACGACTCGGCGTTTTCGTCGAGGCCGAGTCATGGCCAGACACCTTGCCCTTGCCTTTGCTGTCGCCTGGCTCCGGCTCCTGTGGCGCGATGGGTAGCCTGATGTCGGGCCTGTCGGCTTCCCCGGCTATGCGCGCTGTATTGACATCATCGTGAACTTTGTCCCTCTTCTCTACAGAAGGAAGAGAACGTACGCGGGCTCGTATTGAAGTCGAATAACGCGGTCACACGGCGAAGAGTCGTCGACAACCGCGGGCGCGTGACCGTAGTCCGGAGATGCGTGTCAACGCTGCGTCTCGCGGTGCGGCCGACCTTGTCCACAGCCTATACAAGGAAGAAGAAGTCAGGCAAGCTTCAAACCGACGTTTCGGCGCGGCGTACCTTTTCCAGTTCGCCCTCGGGCATGTCAGCTAGCGGGTCGCTCGTCGTAAACGCCAGATTTGCAGTGCATATGAGCGGGATAATGAGATGCCTTGAGAGAACCTCGGCTGCTAGTTTAGGCGGAAGGATGCACGTATCCCAACGCCATTTGAAGCCATGTCCACCGAAAGCGATGCACAAGTCCTGCTCATCATCAACATAGACCCAGATCTCAGAGACTCCAACGCTCACAGCGTAGGGAGAAGGCTCAAGCTCCATTGACATGTCATCCATGCCGCCCAAAGTGTGCGAGTCTCTAAGACATTGCACGATGGCGTCGATCCATTGTTCAAGGTTGGCTTCTGGTGGTGGAAGGTCCGTAGGTGATGTAGAGGGATTCAAACTCTGCCAGCGTCGTATCAGTCTCTGCGTATTGAGTACTGCACATAATTGAGCCTAGTCTCGAATGAATTGATGGGATGAGCTCACCTTCGGCCCAAACGGACTTCGTGTCCGTGACCATGAACACGCACGACTGGTCGGAAAAAGAGGCGCTGAATTTCTTTTACGTGTCTTTAGCGCCACCATTGTCGTTTGGGGTGAGAGATGTACCATCAAGTAAGCCGTCGAGCTATCTCCATCCACTTTCGAGAGCCACTCTCTGGAAAGCAACAGCTTAGAGTGGTCCTGTACGCAGCGTCAGACCCGTATACGGCTATGCCATTACACCGCACAAGCCTGAGAGAAGTCCTCCATTCCTCAGTACAGAAGATGAGATCTGTTGGCACGGAAGCAGCTGGGTCACCCGACGATGCAATTCCGAATAGCAGTGGGAAAGCGGGCGAAATATCTGGCGCCACAGCAAGCGCGAGAGTGGGGTTTGAAGGAAATTCGTTCTGCACACGGAGGATTCAGACTCCTTGGTATTCAAATATGCGCCTCTCAATCCTGCGGTGTAAGATGCGCGTTCAACCGAAAGAGTGGTGGTGGTTCGAGATGAAGGTGGCGGCGCGCGCGGAAGTGGCAAGGCCCTGGGAAGATGCTGCCCATATGGACCCACACGCGACTTCTGCGCGACTTGCCTCTCGCCATCATTGCAGTTGCTGGTTTGCAACGTTTGTTTGTTGCTCTATCACACTCCTTCCATTGCATCTAAACGTGTCCCTCTTGGTATTCTAACTGGTACACTGCGTCAAGTGTACCGTTATTGTCCCAGCATGAGCACGGAAGAGGGGGAAATATCTGAGCCTGCTAACTCTGAGGCTCCTCCACAAGGCTACAATGACTACAATCCTGAGTTCGCATGGCCTGGCGAAGACACAGAGCCCTCAGCCACTCTTCCTGAGATACCTTTGCTCCGCCTAATCGTCATGACCTCGACCATCTTGCCCGCTCAGCGCCGCCTTGCGGTACTCGATGCATACACCGAGATCCAAATCGGACGCGATGCTCCTCCTCCTGCTTCTACTACACCTCGTATACGCCTGAAAGAGCTTGCAGTCAGCAAGTTGCACGCGACACTTTACTGGGATCCTTCGCGTCGCGAATGGGCTATTGTCGACATGGGCTCCAAACATGGCACATTCATCGCGTCGGCGTCAAGCGCGAGCTCGAGCACTGGACCCGGACAGCGTCTAAGCGCACCCCGCGCGGCATCTCTACCACGCAAACTGAAGCACCTCGACCAGATCACGCTGGGGGGAACGACCTTTGTCGTACATATCCACGAGTCGCGTTTACCATGCGACGAGTGCGCCTTACCCGCTACCGGCGATGTGGAGATCCCACTATTCGCCGACGCCGAGAAAGCAGCCGCGAAGCTTGCACAGAAGCGCAAAGCAGCGGAAGAAGAAGAAGCGCGCGCGAAACCCGTCACCAGCGAGCGGGACGCTCGTAAAGCCCTCACGAGTCTCCGGCGCGAGATGCTCTCGCGTCCCAAGAGCGAAACCGGGACTCCATCCACAGAGCCCAAACCCAGAGGCGCGTACGTCGATCGCGCGGCAAAGCGACGGCAGCTGCATCCCGGATCGGCAGTCGACAGTCCAGGCGTACAGACGCCCGCCTCGCACACCGCACAGACGGCCCCGCTCAAGGTCCCTTTATCGGCAATGATACCTCCATCGCCCCCTCGTTCAGCACCCGCTGTTCCGCTTGCGGCGTCGAACGTCGGGCACAAATTGCTCATGAAACAGGGATGGACGCCGGGAAGCGCGCTCGGCGTAGATGTGGACGAGGACGAAGCAGCTGGGAGAAGACTCGTCGAGCCGATTCAGGCGACGATGCTCCCGGCCAAAGCTGGCCTAGGATCGTCAAAGACGGGCCAGCCCGTGTTGAGCGCTACAGAGCGAAGATGGAAGGACGCGTTGGGCAGGTAGCACCTCTCGTCCACTGGTTGAGAACACGCTGCAGCTCTTGCGCAGATCGTGTAGACCTTCTTGGTGACACATACGCTTACATTGCACCCCGTACACGACGAATTCATCTCTGCATCTGCGAACGTTCGGGTCCGATATGGGCGGCATGCTAGCTGTCGGCCCCTTGTTGGCCGATTGAACACAAGGCGCCGAGAAGCTGATTGACGTGCGACCAATCGTCCACTCCTTTCTTGCGCCTGTGGCCCGCCGCCCGCCGTTCATGCGACGGACATGTCATCCCACAAAGGTTGTTCAAGGGGACGATGAGGCTCAAGCTATGGACAAATTGTATCATACGTCCCTACGCTACACAGCGTCGCTATACGAGGTGGTTCCTTGCGTCGGGGAAGGTCGGACGTGCGCGTCAAAGTGGTTCTTCTGCATGGGAAGGACGTCATCAGGCATCAGAGTTGTGATCAATATGCAACCGGAAGAACGGTCCTGGGCCCGATGTTCGACTTTCTCTTGCCTCTGTAGTGTCCCGTAGCGTACACGTAGTATCGCCAATGCGACATGTTGAAAGGGTGCCAAAGTCAACCGCAAATGGAGCAAGAGTGGGGCGTGGTTGTGGCTGGTGG